GGGTCCCCCTCTTGAACAGGCCGCCCAAAGACAACTAGTAATCTCAGTCAGTTGTAGGGTGTGACTTCCCTCCTAGCTTAAAAGAATGTAAGCAAAATGTTGTCATCCGTTGGTTGACGGCAGTAGGTTTTTCCAAGAAAGAGTTTCTTGTGTCAGAACAGAAGCCCCTGTGTAAGGTTTCCATTCTCCTTCACCAGCCTCCTGCAAGCTTGCTCTGGGCCACTGGCAACCTCTGATTTGCCACTAGTTTGGGGGGGAAGGGGGGACTGGGGATGTAGGTGGGGGGTGATGGGGAGGGCCTGAATAGCCAGCTCGTGTCTGTGACCAAATCTAAACCCAGATGTGTTAATAACAGCTCATTAAAACTTTTCTCCTCCCCCTTACAATTGGTAGGTATTTGTCTTCATGAAGGAGAGAAATGTGTGAGAAGACCCGATTTAGAACTGTAGTGTTCGCTTCAAGATGCCCCAAAGGGAGAATGCTCATCTGCAAGTCTCATCTTTCAAAACTGTCTGCATGCTTTCCATCAAAGAACAATGGTTTTTGAGAAAGATGACTTGTGAAATCTGCGAACAAAGCTGGCTTTACAAGTAGACTGAATGAAAGACAACATGCCTTACAATGGACACTTATCTTGAAGGGGCGACACTGTGCTCATAAACTAAAAAACAGGCACTGTAAAAACACTGATCCTGAACAAGAATAAGGATTACAGAAACTGCATCAGAATGTTTGTTAGTCCCAGAAGAGTCAGAAAATGCCATTTTTTGCAGATATTTGCCACTTGCTTCATACTGTGTCTCATGATTTTTTGGGGACCATTTGATAATCACATTGTGAGCCATATGAAGTCCTATTCATACAGATACCTCATAAATAGCTACCATTTTGTGAACGACAGCCTGTCTATCAACAGGGATAACTCAGACAGAGTATTGAGCTACCCATACTTGATCAACCACAGAGAGAAATGTCAGCAGCAGGATGTCCTTCTCCTGTTGTTTGTGAAGACTTCTCCTGAAAACCGTCATCGGAGGGATGCAATTAGACAAACTTGGGGTAATGAGAACTATGTTCGTTCTCAACTTAATGCCAATATTAAAACTCTTTTTGCTTTAGGACGACCAACAGGTCATCTGCAGCAAACACAGCTGCAAAGAGAACTTCAGCTGGAAGACCAGAAATACAGTGATTTGATTCAGCAAGACTTCTTGGATACTTTTCACAATCTTACTCTGAAATTGCTTTTGCAGTTCAGCTGGGTGAATGCCTACTGTCCTCATGCCAGGTTCATTATGTCTGCAGATGATGATATATTTATCCATATGCCAAATCTTGTAGCTTATCTCCAAAGTCTAGCACAAATGGGCGTTCAAGATCTCTGGATTGGTCGTGTCCATCGTGGATCCCCTCCCATAAGAGACAAGAGCAGCAAATACTATGTCCCATATGAAATGTACCAGTGGCCCTCTTACCCTGACTACACAGCAGGAGCTGCGTATGTAATATCAAACGATGTAGCAGCTAAAGTATATGAGGCTTCACTGACTCTCAATACAAGCCTTTATATAGATGATGTTTTCATGGGTCTCTGTGCCAATAAAATGGGAATTGTACCACAATATCATGCATTTTTTTCTGGGGAAGGAAAGGCTCCGTATCATCCCTGCATTTATAACAAAATGATGACATCTCATGGACACGTAGATGATCTTCACCAGCTCTGGAAACAGGCTACAGATCCCAAAGTTAAAACGTTTTCTTCTGGGATTTGGGGTAGAATCTACTGCAGACTAGTCAATATCATGCTTCTCTGTAAACCATACTATGAGGACACATATCCTTGTTCAGCTGCATTTTCTTAATACTTGAATATCTGCATTGAAGATCCACTGAGCCAAAACAGAGCAACAACTTTTTAGCTGTTTATTCAAAATATATGTAAACGTGGAAAGAGGTAAAACTTAAATGTGAATAGTTGGGGGGGGGGTTGGGAGATGGTCCCAAATTCTGTTCAGAAACTCTTACTGGAATAGCTCTTCTATTGTACTGCAACTTTTTACATTATAGCCTGGGTTTGTTTGGGTTTTTTTTTTTTACACTCTTCAAGGGAGGCAAGCCTGGATTAAATGAACTATAATGGACTTGACTTTGAAGTGCTTGGTGAAAACGTCTGTTACTCTGAACTTGTCAGTAAGTCTTAAGTTTTTTTGAAAAAGCTATGTGAACTAAGGCACATGATGATTAAAGAAAAAGAAAATCTGCTATATCAAAATGAGAGTAGACCTTTCAAAACTCAAGGAAAACAGAACTTCTGACTTGATGAATGAGACTATTACAGTAGTAAGGCAATGTCAATTGGTTACAAATATTCACCATTTCTCAACGCTTCCTAGAAAGTAAGTCTGGACCTGCACAATTGACAAACAAATAGTGAGTGCTAGAAGTGAAGACCTGCTATGATCTTTCTTCTGAAAGGTCCCTAAATCCTTGACATAGGGAAACAGTGTTTGAGTGCCCTCTGACTTGGTTGTTTTAAGTAACAAAGCAGCTCCCTTTAGATCAGGACTGACCTTGAAAGGATAAAAATCCAAGTATTACTCATGTAACTGGTTTTGCTGATTTTTCTCTGCCTTCTGACAACTGAAGCAGTATATTTAAACAGTCCAATCTTTAATAAGCAAATAAGCTAAATGAGTCTTAACGATGCTTCTGCTTTCCAACATTCACGGTTCTAAAGGTGAAAAGCAAGCAAAAGTCCCAAGAATGTTACAGCTAATTTGAAGCTGTTGAGGACTTTAAAAAGCAAAATTTCATGCTTGTACTAACAAAGTGGGGAGGGTATTTTCTGCACAAACTTTGACTTCACAGTGAAGGGTTAGGGAGGTGGTGATCCACAGAAACTTGGTACATAAATCTAAATCACTGAAATATTTCTCCTAAAGTCTTAAGGGCAAGAGTGTCTTTAAAATTTCAGGGTAGTTTGTGTCCACAAAACCCTGTATCTTGAATATATTTCAATGATAACATTACCTGCGGGAGGAGCAAAACGCCTCTGCAGTGTAAATCCGGGTAGCAGCCATTATGAGCTGTACTGTGGTGCTGTACAGATACCAGAGAGAACCAAGGTTCTAGGATGTCTGCACTCTTTTCTAGTATAGCTCGCTAACGGTGTTTTCACAGACTCTCAGGACAGATATGTTAGTTGCTGATTGCCAAACCCGTGGTAGCTCTTGCTGGAGTGGACACACAGCCCGCTCAAGGTACCGTCGGGTATTGCTTGTGAACTGATTTGCTGCTGGAACAAGTTCTAGTGTGGGTAGTGTCAGAAAACTACTTCTGAAAGCTTGAATGAGTCAAGTTTTTCAGCAGGGCAACAACAGTGCAAAAGCTCACAAATGAACGAGCATCTGTTGGAAATGTGCTAATGACAGGAGCAATCGTACTCGCTTTCTGAGGCTAGCCGCCTTCTGCCTGAAGCTTCTCGCTGTGTGGAGCAGCGAGGTGCTCGATCTGTGTCTTCTGACTTGACTCTAGAACAGCTATGCAGGACCTGGCAGTTTTAAGCTACTGAAGTTTACTACAGCAAACTATTGTCTAAGTAACCGCACCTGCATTTGAAGCTGCGCTGCAGGTTGCAATGGTTTGCACGGCTAATGGTGTGTGTTAGCATAGACGGGATCCAGGAGCGAGCTTGCTGACTGCTCTCTAAGCTGCCATTTCAGATGGGTGGTAGGTAACTACTGCAGTTAAGTGAAACATGTAACTTTCTTAATTGGTTTTCCAGAAGGAAAAGAATAAGAATCCTCAAACCGGACCCAAATGTTGGGTATCTAAAGAGCCCATAAATAAATCATTAATCACTGTCAGAATGATTGAAGAATGTAACAGCTATACTTTAGAAAGAACAAACCCAGTTCCTGTTCTGGCCTAAACAGATTGATTACAATACTGAGGATGTGTGATTTTTAAAAGAAAAAACCAAAACACAAGACAACCCTAGGTAACCTGTTGGCTTACAGAGAAATAAATGCATATACAGGGAACGTAGTACTGCGTTCTGAAGGAAAGCTGCTTCATCAGATCTCTGACTCGTCGTGAGCCATTTATATCCACAAGCTGCACAGCAAAGCTGCTCTATTAGAAAAACCCAC